TGGTTGAAGATACTGGAAGACGTTTCGTCCCTCTTCTTCAGTTCCTTCAGATGTAAACACATCTCTTACATCTGAAGGACAGAGGACACTCGTTTGAGGACCACCAGGTGCACATTTTAGACAGAGAAGATGGATGGTTTGAAAGAGGTGTCAAGGAAGCCATCTACACCAGGGTTGAGAAGCCGTCATTGAACAGGGGAGGGGGTCTACGCCACCACTTATCCCCCACTTACAATGCTGTCCTTTCATCACTTCCCAGGAAACTCAACAAACGTAACCTATTGGCCTCAGGTGAAGATACCAACGATGGTCGTTCAGTCTTAGCCACAGGTAGTCTTAACGACTGTAACGACTGTCGTCACAGCAACAAGGAACACTAACGAACCAGTGGTATTGATGACCCGGGCCAACGACCCCACTGAGGTTAAATAGCTGAGTTTCCCTGCCAGTCAGTCAGAACTGAAGAAGTCCTTTGGATGAGGGACGAAACGTCTTCCAGTATCTTCAACCAAGTCCAGTTGCCATTGATTTTAACCTTCGTTGTATAACTATGACCTGGATGACTGAGAATCTTCATAGACATCCTATAAATGATTTTAAAACAACCTGGCAGTTAATATGCACACTTCAATATGTTTGTTTAGTCATGTCATCTCAATATATAACAATATTATCGCACACTGAATATTTTCTTCATACCATACAAGCCTAGCCTACCTCATGCCCGTTGGGTCTGGTCTTCCCAAATAACAGTCACCAAATAATACTAAAGTATCGTTAAGCAGTCTCAATAAGGGTTTCAATGAAAATGAACGATCCCCATCGTTAATGTGTGTAAGCTAGGTCTGCATGCTGACGGCTAATAAGCTATGATAGCTTCCACCATGTTGGACTCTCCAGCTGTCCGTCCAGTCAGAGCTCACCTCCATCAGGTTCGCTGAAGTCAGCGAGTCAGAAGAGACGCTAACGCTAACTGCTCAACATGATCGTAGCTGTCATCGACTTCACACAGGTAACAGCTGATCAGGACTCCCCTCTGCAGAACCTTTAGTCTGGTTCTGATCCAGGTTGTGTTCAGTAAGCAGGTCTCTTTCCTGTCTCTTAGCTGTTGTGTCCCATGATGATGGGGAGCCTGATGTTCTGGAAGGGCTCTGTGCTCAACATCTTCAGTGAGACACTCTCAGAGGACACCTGTCCTCGCTTCTTATCCTTGTGTCCACAGTTTTATTCTCTTGGCCCAATCCCAATGTCCACCCTCACAGACTTTGAGTCGCGTTCCGTGAGGGCTTAGGGCTCACTAGCAAATCGTCAAGTGCGCAAGGGATCTCTCGCGGACATTTTGAGCCCTTTTTAGACCCTTTTCGTAAGTCTGCATTTCTGCAGACTTTGGCTGAAGAAACTGCCCACAGTTCATAGCGGTATGACGTGAAACACGGGGGTTTCCAGGGGAAGCCCGGAAGCGAGAGAAATATCACGGCAAATCTGCCTTATAAGAGAAGAAGAAAACAGTAAAACAACAAGCATCGACACCTACGCTGATATTAAAATTGTTGAAAGTTTTCTTAACTTAAGATGGTGCATAGAACACATGAAGTAATGCAATCACCTTATTACACACTTAGTTTATTCAACTACTTATTTTAGTTTTTGCTTAATGATGCTGTTTGACCGACAATAGTGTATTGATTAATTACAAATATATATTGACATTTACCTCTGCTCCACTCTGTAGGTCAAGAGCCTGCAGGACTTAAAAAACAGGCAAAAACATAAAATAAAACGTGTGCAATGTGTTTCAGCATCGTCAAGGTAACGTGATAAAGTGGCAAAGGGCTGTCCCGTTCCTGTTCACAGTATTTGGAGCCCTTGCAGCCTCTTAAACTCAATCACTTTCCAAGTGACGTCAGTAAAGTCTGTGAGGGCTTAGGGCTTATGGCTTAGGGGGGACATTGGGATTGGGCCCTAGACTGAGAGACCAGTACAGCACCTGGCAGCTTTTCCTGGCTCACAGCATCCCCCTGGAGACCATCATCCCCATCCTGCAGCACCTTAAATATAAAGGTGAGTGGTGTCCAGGAAAGGGTCCCTGTCCTCCAATCTGATCAGTCCTTTGTTTTTGAATTGATAGAAAACCCGGAGGCCTGCTTCACAGAGAGAAGTACGACAGGAACACACCTGGACACTCGTCTTGGAGACTCCTGGGTCTCTGTCTGCGTCCCAGGCCCAGGGAGGAGATGGTGAAGATGGTCCTGAGTCGTCCCTGTCACCCCGAGGACCAGTTCACCACCAGCATCCTGAGACACTGGTCAATCACCATCAACAATCAACCAGCCCCGCAAGAGACAGAGGTGAGGACAGACTGAGTGGGACAGGTGAGGACTGTCTCTGGGTACCTGTTGTGTCTCTGTCCTCAGTCTTCACAGTTCCAGCAGTAAACTGGCTAAGCTCACCCTGGAACAGATCCTGGAGCTCGTGGACAACCTGAAGCAGCTTTGTGTCTTCACCAAGAAGGAACCTCCAGGTTTGAAAAGTGAAGCCTCAAATCTGCATTCTCTCTAACAGCCAGCAGGGGGCGACTCCACTGGATCACATATGGTCTCAGTCCCTAGTTTCAAGTATTCTTCAACACAGCATGATCATTTAGTAAATTATGGTCACATTTAGAGGAAAATAGACCAGAAAGCAGATGACGAGCCTTTAGGGCGGGGTACCTTGTGATTGACAAGTCGCTATGTGTGACCCAAATATGGATGTTCAGGATGGAGCTGAACACCTCTTTCCTCTCCTCAGCTGTACAGGTAGGCTGGAATAAAATAGCTGCTTGTTACTTTATATAAATTGAACTAAAAGACGTTCTGTTAGATTCCAGTCTGAGGGGGAGATGTTTGTTAATCTGCTTCACTTCTCCAGCCGTTTGGGAACAGACTTTTGGTGATCCTTTTGAGATTCACTGTCACTGTCTGTCCCTTGGACAATCAAACACTCTGAGACCCTGTTACGACCTGGCTCATGTGGGCAAATAAGATGACATAAACCAGATAGATTTGGTAAAGAAAAGTTATTTATAGGGTAAGGTTGACACGCAGTAAACTGTAACAGACAAAGGGCCCATTGGATGCTCCTTAAACCAATGAAAACAACATAACCAAAAAGAAATCTCTACTGTGAGAGATGCAGAGCTTAACCTACACAAGGTAGCGAAAACAAATTCAAAACCAAAACACAAAGTGCAGCACCTTTAGACCTATTGAAACTAACACAAAACAGCTACACAGATGTAGCGAAATCAGTTTAAAGCTAAACCTGGGCCCTATTTTCATGAACAAGTTTAACTTCAATTATCTCAAAATAACACACTGGTGTTTCACAGTATTCTCAGACAAACTGACACAGCGAGGCGAGGCAAACTAATCAATGAAAATCACAGCTGCCTCAAGTCACAAGCACACCCTGTTTAGCTGAAGTCGCTGTCAATTGCCTTCACTCGATTGGAGGAATTCCCCACCGGCTGTGCTAATCTTCATCGAACCCAGACAGTAGGAGGGGTCAACGTCATCTGGCCCAATCCTCGGCAGGCAATCCCACCACTCATTAGCGTACACCTTCACACAGAACATAGACGGCTACTAACGTACAGGGGCCTTAACAGACCTCGCGATAAAAGAGGTGGTATTATGCTCATTTTCAGGTTCAAAATCTTAATTAGGGGTTGTACCAGAACAGGTTTACAAATTTTCAAAAAACACCATATTTTTTCTCATACTGCACATTGCTGTAGCTCCTCTTTTTATCCTATGTGTTGTACGCTCCGCTCTTGGTACAGAGTGATGCATCTTACTCGTACAAAATCTTTGTTGGGAGTTGCACATGCGCAGTACCCTGGTAAGGACTACTAGCCAATCAGAAGCAGAGAATGGTGGGTCGTAAGAAACAAGGTAGTGTGATCCAAAATCCTAAAATATAAAACTTTCTGTTGCTGGCCTCTGTCTGGTGCACGCGATGATGATGCAGTGAATAGTGAATATTGTCTCTTACCAATCAGCAGTCTGTTGTGTTTTTATGTTACATTTTAGTATCCCTTAGCTGACTTGGAACCTGGAAGGAGGTGAGGTGATATGAAAAAAAGTACCTGGAAGCAGGTACAAGTGCAAATTTTATTTTGCTCAAGAGATTCAAGTTATCACTTAACACCAAGAAATCTCATCAAGAATCTGGAAATGGAAAATATTTAACATTATTGCTAAAAAGAATGAAAACAAATTGATTATCAAAATTGTTGCTGGTTAATTATCTGGTCAAGCAGTCAGTTACTTTGTCTAATCAGCTGTATGCAAGATGTGCCTTATTTTGTGTCTGTTAAATGTAGAAATGACAGATGTGTGAAGATGACACTAATAAAGGGAACTTGAATTGTAGTAATGGAGTTTTATTCACATTTTTCAGGACTACAATCTGAAAATGGACATTTTGTAAATTTCAAGTTGACTAGTAGTAATTTTGTTGAGTAAGTACAATACTATTTAGGATAAGTTGGGCACAATTACTTTTTACAATTATTCATTGAGTAAAGAATAAGTGGAATTTAATTATAATTTTAATCAATGTAATTTTGTATGCTGAGAATTAAAAAAAAAAGTATTATATTTAAGTTAAGGTTTACTCAAATATTATTACCACTACTACAAAAGTTTGAGGTAATCAGTTTCCACAAATATTTTGAGTATTCTTAATAAACCTATTTGTGTTTACAGTGTAGTCAATGAGGTCCAGCACAAGCCTGATGTTGTTTTATGTGCCTTTATAAACCCGGTTTGGTTTTCATCAGTAATTTGGTCAAATACAGCCTTTAATCTTTTGGCAAAAACCAGAGCTAGGACTCTGTAATCCTTATTAAGAAGGCAAATTGGCCGCCAGTTGCCAAACTTGCCTCGATGATGGAGAAACTGCTTTACTGCTTTACATCACAGTGTACGTGCGTCCCTGCGCAGTGACGTCTCTCTCCCAGAATGCAGTCTGGTAAACAGACATGGAAGCACCAGGTGAAGACCTCCACAGAGGCTGAGCGCCGCACTCGCTCCTTCCCACCGTCTTCTGTCTACTTCGTCCAGTGCATCCAGTTGAATTATACCTGCCCGGTGTCACGTTTGCGTCTCCAGCACCCAGAGCCTTGGTAAGAGTGAAGTTGTTGTCGATCCGTGACGACTGCTAATGACTTCTGCTGTGCTGTCAGGCTCCTGCCAGCTTGCTCGCTAACGCTGGTCATGGCTGGCTACAGGCTGCAGCTAGCAGGCTAATGTAGCCGCCGCTGCTCTCCAGTAACGCTTGTACCAGTCACAGACCCACACTGGATGGAGCCTGTTTTCATATCACAACTCCTGATAGACACCATGTCTGCTTTTTCACACATCGTGTTTACGATTAACGCTTTCTTTATCTTTTCTATTTGTGGAAACGATGTTAATGTATGGTAGTGTGTAGAAGAGGTGGAAGCGACGCAAGCCAATAAAACTGCTAGCTCGTGTTAGCTAGCTAACTAAGTTGTGCACCTGCTTTTCAATGACAAGGTTTTCGTTTCTAAAGAAATGGCATAATGCTATATTTTGCCCATCATAGCCTTTGACATAGTGTCTTCGCAGAGCCCAAACCACGATTAAAGTCAGCCTAAGCTGGGTACTGACGTGTGTGTGTGTGTGTGTGTGTGTATTGCAATGTAGCAGACTGTTTGGAAGAACAGTGTTACGGTGTAAGTACATTCACTTTGATGTCAGTTTCATAGTGCGTGTAGAGATGCATAAGGGCTGGGTGACAGTTCAACACAATCTTTTGTTGACTTTCAGTTGAATATAATGAAATCATGTTATGGTTGTACGACATTCGGTCAATTTCTATGAACAGCAGACCAGAGCTCATTGCATTGAATGCCAGTTGGTTATTTTATGTGACTTTTGCACACGTATATACTATATAAAGAATATGCAGGACACAACGCAGCCATTGTCTACATTTGTATGACTACAGAACAGCCACCATTCAACAATCCTAAAAGCCCTCTATGGGTTTGATGTGTTATATCAGCTTCTGTTACAAAACTGTCAAATCATATAGGCAGTGCAGTTGGTTAGGATTTGGATCCCAATATACTGAAAGGCACAATTTGAAGATGGAACTGGCTGTAATGTACATTTGGTAGCAGAATGTGGTATTATTAATGTTATTAGTTAAATCTGTGTTTGCCAAGTCAGAATGTGTGCCATGACACAGATGTGCTGGTAACCCTCTGGGTACATAACGTAACTTCAGGGTAGCCAGAAAGAACTATGGCTGAGCAGGACGTTTGACCAGTGAGAAAGTTAGAGGTGGACCTGAGTTTGTGGAAGTGATTAATTGATTAATAGTACTCTTTAGTGGTATGACAGCAATTATCTGACCTTTCACCCAATTAACAAATTAAAGACAAAGCTCAGGGCTCCAGTTTACTTATAAGCATGGATTGTGATCTACACTACCTGAGCTTCTCTGAGAGCACCAGTCCCCTGGTTTAAGGATATAGTACTATACAGTTGCAGTTATTGGATCCCATAAATATGTCATTATTTTACATAACGTTTCTTTAAAAATACCTCATTCAGAGAATGCACTTGTATAGTGAATGGCATTAGTAATGGCTACATGTAGCTTAGGTTTGCCAGTGCCAGCCTTCCTGACATTGTGCGTGCTGGCTCACTGACATGGCTTACTGGCACGCCATCATTAAACCATGATTGATGTTATTGGTTACACCTGAGCTTTACTTTAACAGTATAAGTCAAAATGTCTGCTGTGAAGAAGTTCAACAATATTTCCTGACTTACACTTAAAGGACCAGTGTGTAAGACTTAGGGGGATCTATTAGCAGAATATGGCAGAAATGAATATAATATTCATAAGTATGTTTTCTTAATCTATAATCACCTGAAAATAGAAATCATTGCCTTTCCATTACCTTAGAAGGAGCCCTTTTATATCTACAGAGGGAACGGGCCCTATTCCAGTAGTAGGGCTCCACACTAACTTTTCCACTGGTAGCACTGGTGAGACCAACTTTCTCAGTTAATCGCACCAGCACATGATTTGGTCGCACCAGCAGGTATTGATCAATGACCACTGGTAAGAAGTGTGGAAGTGCTCAGTGTTTAGGGAATGATGCATCAGTCTCTGCAAGTTTCGTGTTCCTTTCTGTTGTTGTGCAACTTCAAAATGTCAAGCTAAAACTGTGTTGACCCGGTAACAAGTTTAGAGTTGACTGCAAAGTATGGGCCACATTGCCTACAATTTAAACATAGCAGAGCATTCCCCTCCTACTGTAACCATCTGATCCCCATCATGGTTCTGACTAAATCTATATCTGTCCACTGCAGAGGCTCTCTCCACAACCTGGAGGAGGAACTAGTATAAGTGCATGAATTTGTATAATTGAGGTTGTATAGTTAAAATGTTAATTTAATAATATACTGTTAGTATAATTTTAATATATTAATTATATAATGCTACTATATTGATTATAATTATATATATATGAGTATTCTATATAGCTTACCACTAGTAAAATATGAATTCCATTTACAGCAGATTTATTTTTGTTTATTTTTGGTGGGTTTTTATACATTAAATGCTTGTGCAAAAAAATGTTACATACATGGTGATTGAGTTAGTCTGTAATTAGTTAAATGATGCTAAGTGATAACTTGTCAATGATTATAACATCAGTGCATGCAGAACAATCAGTTCAACATTTGAAAATTTGCTGTAGCAAGTCAACACTTTTAATGTCCTGCCTCATCCAGGCTGTGATTGGTTGATCGCAGAGCACATCGACATTATGAAAAGTTGAATGTTCAAAAAGAAGGCATCAGATGGAGCTAAATGGCCAGCTAGCCAAACACGAACTTTCCTTATCTTCTGCCTATTGTCTTTTTTCTCACCGTTTCAACTGCCGCCGCATCTCTCTCGTTGTTTTTGTAAAACGAGCTGCTCAAGCGGCCGCAGAGCGATTTCTCCCAAAGATCGTGGCAGCCAGTCAGACTATGTTTTGAATGATTTCATGCTGCGTTCCATTTACCTCGGAGGTCGAAGCTGGGAATGACATCACACCCGAGTTGACGGTGTTCCACTTAACAAGTCGGAAAACCTCGTTTGGCCAGCTGTAGTTTACAACTAGCCAGGTTAGCTATTGATGCGCTGGTTGATTTTAAAAGAAAAAGAAAAAAACTGTTGATACCCCGACAGCCATCGATTTAAAAAAAAAAAAAAAAAAAAAAAACAGCGCCGTTCTCAAACACGGAAGGCTGCCTGGCTTGCTTTATTTGAAGTATAATGCACAAATTCACCTCTTGATTACTGTATATCATCATTATATAACCCCCCCGGGCCCACAGCCAAATTCAAACCATGTAAAAACCACAGAAATATGTTGTCTATATGCAATCTACTACTCCGCCCAAATCCTTCCATTGTCACAATCTTTCCCGAGTATACAACCAGACCAGCCATATAAAGGCTTATGTATATAATTACTATCTTTATCTCTAAAGTGCTCATTCATACAGCAGCCTAACGTCCATATCCATGAGTAAAATATTAATATCAGATTTGCAATAATTATATTGAAGTAATAAGCTTGATACACTATATGAATAAACACTCTTATTAAAATTCAACTAATTTAATAATAATCTGGATCAAGCCACCAAGTTCTTTAAGAACTCCAGCACAGAGAGAGGTACAAAGAAATAAACACATGTAAACGCAGCAGTTTGGCAGGTCTGAACGCAGAATGGGCCACATCAGGTCCGGATTCTGCAGACAGAGAAACACATATGGGCACATCGCTCTCAAACACTGCAGGTTGTTCACCAGTCACGAGCTGTGAAACAACAGCACAGCTCTGTTGGTAAATAAAAAGGAAAAGTTACGTTGCGTTCTCTGGCGGACCTGGATCAGCTGTTAGCTGTAAACAAACCACAGGGCTAACGCTAACGTTGCTACGTGGCTGTGTTTTAATGGTTTAATGTCCGGGTCTGTTTGTTTTGGAGAGGAGACGGACGTCCTCTGAGGTAATTCGGCTCCCGGTAGAACTCTGTCAGGGCTCTGAAGTGGACCCAGAACAACTCTCATCAGCTGTTAGCTGTAATGTTAAACACTAGCAGGACTGAATTTACGGTGCGGCTGTGTTAAAAACTATAACTTAGCACAACATAACTGCACTGTAATAATGTTATGCTCTATTAAATGTCACATAATTAACAAAATAGCTAAATAATATCAGTCCAGTGACTGTTACCTGACAGCCGACCTGCCTCTCATTCTCCGGCGCTGGCAGTCATTCAGCCTGCAGAATGAATGAAAGACTGAGGAGGACCAATGTGAGCGGTGATCGAGTTGTCACGTGACAAATGATCGACTCAAACCTAGAGACCCACAGTTGAGAGTCGTGAACTAAGAAATTCTGTTTCCTGTGCTGACGGAGCCCATGCAGCTGCCGTGTGACGAGTGAATGTAAGAGTCCAAGATCCTTCACGCATGCGTGTAAAGGAACGAATCACTCACTGAGACAACCCGTTCCTCCCGAGTCATACACGATTAGGTCTTATGAACGAAACGTTGATTGAACGACACAACACTAGCTCGCGTTGCTTTTCAGGGGCATTTGCGAGTAAAGTAGTTGCGCTGTAGAGCCGTGCTAATGATCAGCTTGCACTCGCACAAATCAGACCACGTGAAATTTTTACTCGCACACAAAAAAGTCACAGTCTGGAGCCCTGAGTAGCCCAGAACGGACAAACCAAAGACTGGCTCTAGAGAGGGCCTTTAACGAATTTCGCGGCCACTGTAGGTTCTCCTCAAGCAGGAAGCTTCCGGTCAAAGAACTGAGAAAATAAATTATGGCCCCATTTATAGGAAAATGGACCATAAAGCAGAGTATGCTTCAGGGCGGGATTATCTGTGATTGACAAGGCGTTACCATGGCGACCTGTCAGTCAGGCTACAGTGACTCGTACCCACGGCACTGTGTAAATTTAACCACTGTCGAAAAAGCTTGTTAGGAGTTGGCTGTTCTCTGGTGAGTTCATTTAGTTTTAAGCCTGTTGTTCGCTAGCAAAATTGTCAGCCCTGTTAAAATGACAGTTAACATGAACTACAGATGCACCTAGTTAAGCAAGCTAGCTAGCTCCGCACACAAGGGACAGACGAGACGACAGACGCCGCTAGATGCAACTAAAACTAACTAGACACTGGTCCTTTAAGAAATGCAGTTGAGTTTGAAGTTGGTTCATTCTGTGCTGGGCAGTAATAGTTTATATGCAAAGAAAGTAATAGACTATAGCAAAAGCTTTTGACAAGCAACAAAGTATTATGCAAATTTAAATAAATCTAAAATACCTCATTGTAATTCATACACACCAGTTATCATTGTATGGCTTTGTGTTTCACTTTATCAAGTTATTTTCTACCTCCTATGAATATATTACATTCATGGATTTGGAAGTGGATTTCATTTTTATCAATCATTAACAATACAGGCGATATACACGTTAGCAAATAACCTTGCTAGTATCAGCACTTTAGTTTATGTCACCACATGAATCATATTCATGCAATTATAGGTCTTCTGAGTTAAGACAACAAAAACAATGATAGTTCTCTGGTTTTAAAAGGGATTACTGTGGGGCTGGAGAGGGTGGTTAGGGATGGTGCTTAATGATTGGATTACTGCACAGTGGTGAAGAACTCCATGGCCAAAGGAGGACAGTGTTACCTTCCAGACATAGTCTTATAATTCCATGTTTACTGATTAACTTAAACAGCAAACACTGACTAATACTGACTTGTCTTCTCCCAATGTGTGTGTGTGTGTGTGTGGGTTGGCTTGTGCGTGTCTCCAGACTCTTCTCTCCAGTGACTGTGGCAGCCAGCGATCACCCAAACTGATGAGGATCGTCTGATTGAGTTAAAAATAAGTTCCTTTTTTCTTATTTTGCCGAGGTAAGATCTCATAGATACTCATTACTCTGTATTATTGACAGTTCCTGTTTTCTGTAGCTATACAATACATAGTTGTATAGTGCTGATAGATGTTTACATCTGTCCTTTATTGGAAATCTGTTTCGCAATTTTATACTAGTTGTTTTACTGCAAACAAATGACCCTGTCATTTCCCAAACGACTCTTATCTTGGTTCCAAGGCCTAACTGTGATGTTAACTTACTTTGGATTCTGAAGTTATTATATTATAAAACAAAACATTGTTTTGAATGTTTGTGGATATTTGAAACTATGGGTTTAAAACAACAACACACCCATGTATATTGTAGGGCTGAATGGTTTTGGAAAAAAATATCTAATTGTGATATCATTTGCGATATTGGAGGGAATAATCACTTTTACATACGTATTCTCTTTTTCATTGAAAACACATTTAACTGATTATGATGTGATTTTTACAAGGATCTGTACCGAACAAAGATGTTTTCTTAAGTCTGTAGAATATGGTGTTGGCCAGGACAACTCTGCAGCAAGACAATATTTAGTTAACAACCCATTTTGCCTTTTAACAAACATTGCAGTAGGCCATATTGAGATTTCAATTAATTGTTCAGACCTAGTATATTCTACCGATTTAATGTTAGATTAATGTTCATGAATTTTCATTCCTGATTCAATGAGTATGCTAGAGGAAAGGTAGCTGGGCATCTAGCAAAAGGAAACGCCCTCTCTCTGGTGCTCTTACATTAATATACATTCACTTACTTGAAAAGATGCTGTGCAATCCAGTACAACAGTCCTTTAATGAATACTATTTCCACTTTGCTTAAATATTAATTAATATTCAATGAGGTGTTTCTTGTTGAGGCTACAGCAACCTACTGAGCCTATCGTTTGTACTGGTGCTGTATTGGGTTGCATGTATTGAAGGTTAGGTGTTTGTTTTATTGAATGTGCTTATTAGACTTTGTATAGATATTACAAATACCTTTCAATGAAATGTAATCCAATACAACACCAACACCTAGGGCTGTGCGATATCATATCCTGATATAGTTAATTTCAAATCCCAATACCAATATATACCGATATTAAAATTTCTTTGTAAATTCAATGAAATATTATTAACTCACAATGTTTCTGCATCATAAAGGTGGGGTAAGCTACAGTGGGTACGGAAAGTATTCAGACCCCTTTAAATGTTTCACTCTTTGTTTCATTGCAGCCATTTTCCAAAAATCAAAAAGTTCATTTTATTTCTCAGTAATGTACACTCAGCACCCTCTTGACAGAAAAAAACAGAAATGTAGAAATTTTTGCAAATTTATTAAAAAAGAAAAACTGAAATATCACATGGTCATAAGTATTCAGACCCTTTGCTCAGTATTTAGTAGAAGCACCCTTTTGATCTAATACAGCCAGTCGTTTTGGGACAGATGCAACAAGTTTTTCACATCTGGATTTGGGTATCCTCTGCCATTCCTCCTTGCAGATCCTCCCAGTTCTGTCAGGTTGGATGGTAAACGTTGGTGGACAGCCATTTTCAGGTCTCTCCAGAGATGCTCAATTGGGTTTAAGTCAGGGCTCTGGCTGGGCCATTCAAGAACAGCCACGGAGTTGTTGTGAAGCCACTCCTTCGTTATTTTAGCGGTGTGCTTAGGGTCATTGTCTTGTTGGAAGGTAAACCTTCGGCCCAGTCTGAGGTCCAGAGCACTCTGGAAAAGGTTTTCGTCCAGGATATCCCTGTACTTGGCCGCATTCATCTTTCCTCGATTGCAACCAGTCGTCCTGTCCCTGCAGCTGAAAAACGCCCCCACAGCATGATGCTGCCCACCATGCTTCACTGTTGAGACTGTATTGGACAGGTGATGAGCAGTGCCTGGTTTTCTCCACACATACCGCTTAGAATTAAGGCCAAAAAGTTCTATCTTGGTCTCATCAGACCAGAGGATCTTATTTATCACCATCTTGGAGTCCTTCAGGTGTTTTTTAGCAAACTCCATGCAGGCTTTCATGTGTCTTGCACTGAGGAGAGGCTTCCGTCGGGCCACTCTGCCATAAAGCCCCGACTGGTGGATTGCTGCAGTGATGGTTGACTTACTACAACTTTCTCCCATCTCCCGACTGCATCTCTGGAGCTCAGCCACAGTGACCTTTGGGTTCTTGGCTCTTCTCCCCCGATAGCTCAGTTTGGCCGGACGACAAATACCAAATATACAGTGAACAACAACAGCATGTAATGTGACCAATGTTAGCTAAGTTATGGGTTAGCAAACTGTTGCTACTTGCTGCGGCAAAGTAAATATGAGAGGATGAGACGGCAGCTCCAGATAGCGATACAGCTCTCCTGCTGCTATAGCTATCATCACACATGTCTGGGTGAACTATAAGTAAGCTGCATGTCCGTGGCACATCATGGCTAAAACTGCTAGAATAGTGTTGCGTGGCTCGTCCAGACAATAGACTTCCTTCTTTGGTATTAAACTCCTCGTTTTAGCTTGCATGGTCTGAGTCCTCCTGTTCAGTATGATCCAGTTATGAGCAAACTTCACTCTCCTCCATGTTTGTTTATTCTTAATGCAAATTTCTTCCCTGCAACACAGGCAAGTGTGGAAGAATGGACCACAGTGAAATTAGTTTCAATTTGGATATTACTTTTACGTTGAATAGTCTACAGATGTATGTCTATGCAACGTAAAACTAACTTCATCGTGGTGCAAAGCGTCAACACCTTAGTGGGGAATTTGCGACACAACAAAATAAACAATAGAGCATAATTTTCAACGACAGACGTTTTGCTATTGTCAAATCATAGATATCGTCATATCGCACAGCCCTACCACCACCGCAGTAAACATTTGTATTGGTCTGCCTCATATTGTACAGGGGTCTTTTATTTTTCTGATCATTAAATGTATATGATCAGTCGCTAGTGATTGGTTCATCCACTGGACACCATAATATGGAAAAAAAATAAGTTACAAACTTTTGTTTGCATTTACTGGTAATGTCACTGCTTTTAATCACATTTGAGCAATGTAGAAGAGTGACTGTTGCTTAGATGATAGTGCTTGCCTAAAAAAGGCTATTGAGGAAATGTGATTTATACAGTAAGAGTCTCCATTGGACATTTTCACTTAGGGTGGACTCACCTTTGTTGCCAGTAGTTTAGACATTAATGGCTATGTGATGTGTTATTTTGAGGGACAGCAAGTTTACCATGTTACACAAGCTGTACATTCAAAACTTTACATTGTAGGAAAGTGTCATTTCTTCAGTGTTGTCACATGAAAAGATTTAATCAAATATTTACAACATTGTGAGGGGTGCACTCCCTTTTGTGAGATACTATATTAATGACAAAAATTTACACATCTGGGCCCATCGCAGACTAAAAAGCACTGCTACTCATAGAAATGGACAAACCAAAAAGTTTGCTCCACAGAGTCTTATAATTTTTAGCAGTGGCTAAATGGGTAAGTTCACATTACAGTGAAAAAGGATTTGCTATACATGATGCCTCTGTCAATGTATTGTCATTGCGTGAAATATAATTGTGCCTGGCATGCTTGTCAAATAATTGATGTTGCACTGATGTGTATAGCACTGATTTGTTTGATATAGAGGTGCCATTCAAATCCCTGTAGGGTATTATGTGTTGACCCACTGTTTGCTCAATGTTATGTAGTTTTTTTTTTTTCAAAAGGGGAAAAAAAACAATGCACTATAAGTTGAAATGTATATAACCCCACCCCCACCCCACAAAAAAAGGAACAAACAGTATCAGTTATGTCTGCTCCCCCAACTATTGTAGGTATCCTGAACGTAATATACCATATTC